GAAGAAGCTTTTGTAATGGAGGAGTCTTTACCTGAAGACAACCACAGTGTTGTGAGAAAACTACTGTGTGACAGACTTGAAGCAATGTGTAAGAAACTGAACAAGAAAAACAAACTGGAAGAGTATAGACCAAGAATGGAAAAATTTCAAAAGGTTAGGAATAAAAAACTTTTTTCGGTTATATAAAAAATTCTCCAACAGCATGATAGGCAACAGATCATTAGACCATTTTTGAATTTGTACAATGCCGGGTTAGCCTAATTTCAGCGTTATAACAGTTGCAAATACGAACAGTCAAAGAAAAAAGGTACAACATCAACAATACATACACTTTGAAATTCTTTGAAAGACTTTCACTGGAACACATGAATGTTCACAAAATCGAGGGTACCCTTGAGCAACAGAGAACTCGAAACTGAAGTGTTGTGAGTGACGGTGATCATAAAAGTACACAGAGAAAATCAAACCCATTAACTATTTATTTTACAGAAGAAATAGAAATAGAACGCGCACGCGTGTCATGTTGAATAATAAATCAAGCGTTGATTGTCAGTGACAATCTGGCTTCATTGTGGGAGCATACATGTCCTGTATTATACTAGTCGTCTGGTTGCAAAATAGTCAAAAAAGGTCTTAAGGGTAAAATTGAAATGTTCATGCAACTTCYTTATTGTTGCTTTAAAGGAGACTGACGCTGACGCTGGAAAAAAGCCTGATGCTGATGCTGATACTGATGCTGATGCTCAATCGGGAGAGGGGACAGACGTAATAACACTGTAAGCGTTACTGATTCCTTTTTTTTTTTGTTTTATTATCGTGTTTACTTTTCTATCTGGTATTCTTAATTAATGATTTGTTGGTATCGTTGCTTTGCAGAGACGACAAAGGAGGATACTATGATTTCTCAARCGATTTCTTTTTTCTTGAAGTTCCACGCAATGCCGTGAACACACCAGTTAAAGTCAAGTACAAAGTTGACCCTTGTCGCTGTCAACCGCCCATGGCAGGAATAACTACAAGTGTTAGTTATTTCYTGGWATTRAGTTCCAGTAAGRCTGTRRAACTCAATGAGCCTATTACTATGACTTTAATGCATTCTGGACCTGGAAAAGAATATGGTTATACAACTACTGTCATATCCTTCAATCAAGACAAATACGTTTGGGAARAACTAAAAGGTATAGGTGGATGTCATATTTATAAACACCGTCATTGTGATGTAACTTTTGTTTCGTTAGATTGTGCAATAGATTTCTGATTTWAATAACAATTAAGCAGCTGAAAGGAATTTCGTTACCCTTCGCCCACCTATATTATAACATGCCTGCAAGAGACTTCTCTATGTGAAAGTTACCGAGTATTGTCTCACGAGTGTGTGTTTCTGCTACACAATGGAGTGCACGGCACGGTACACCTCCGACAATTAAGCAACTGAAACGAATTTCGTTACCCTTCGCTCACCTATATTATAACGTGCCTGCAAGAGACTTCTCTATGATGTGAAAGTTACCGAGTATTGTCTCACGAGTGTGTGTTTCTGCTAAACAATGGAGTGCACGGCACGGTACACCTCAGACATCTCATCCAACTGTATGATTTATCCCTTTAGAATATTGTATACTCTTCAAGCTTCGCCTATAAATATATAATGAAGAAATAGAGAGTGCACACCTGTTTTGTTCTCCACGCACGCTAAACATTTTTTTCGCGCTCGGTTCATGAGTAATGCATGAAAGCAGTGATTAAGTAAAGGATCAAACACTAGGGCGAGGRCATTCCGAGGCGCAGCCCTCGGCCTCGGCTTTTATTTTTAAGAATRCCCTCGCCCGTGTGTTTGKTCGGATTTRATAATCRGCCCCGATCCATGATTTAGGAACACTGAATGGGTTTGGATTTCATATTGACTTGATATGARTGACCACGGGACAGGTCTATATTTTTGAAATATRGACYTGTACCTGGACATTATTGAGGATAACAACCGCATTTCACAATGGGATTGAGGTGTGGCTTGTTATTAAATCACGAAAAAAATGAGGAATTCCCGTTCTGTGAGTCAGCAAAGCAATGAAGCAAACAAAGCGAGGTGAACACTTGTATAATAATTGTTTAATCAAAGTAATCACAACATGGCAAATATCTTTTGTTCCACCACAGCTACAGAACAAGAATCAACCCTTGGACGATACAGAAAGGATTACGTTAGAGTACAGATCAGTAAACTGACTATCTTAGCAGTTGTAACCAGACTCATCACAGATCGATTCCAAGTCACACCCAAAGGATGTGTTGTCAGGTCTTCTGTGTGCGATGATGTCACGATTGAGTTCCCTCAAGGAGCTGTTSACAAGACCGTGGAAGGAACATTGAAAGTAAGTAAAATTTGCAAGAGGTTTGAAGTGAAAATACCTCGTAAACGTTGTACGTATGTTCAGAATCGATGCAAAAATGTGTAAAAATCTGKTAGTAAATTRTGTCAAATTTAGTGCTAATGGCATGCAAATTGTTTATCAAACAATAATTCTGTCGCATCGCTTTCCTGTAGTCTGTCAGTCGAAGTATTACTAAACACGTGCAAATGACTCTTAATGCTTTACTTTTATATCCTAGTTGTTACTAATGACACAGAGGAAGTACCTTGAAAACGATGAGTATGGATATCCGTGCCCAATATTATTGGTGGATGGTTTTGAAGGTGTTAGTCTTCAAAAACCTGTCACCATAAGGATGCCACACCCTTGTCCCGCGAAATGTCCTGTGGAAAAAGTAAATTTAATGCGTCTTCCAAGTGAATCTGAAACCGTTCTTGAAAATGAGTGGGAGGACATTACAGACCAGATAATTTACAAAGAAATAAAGACAGATCAGAAATGTTTTGTAGAGCTACAAGTGCAGCGTTTTTCATGGTAACGTATTATTAGCTTGTACTAAAAAATTCTTTAGTAAACGTTCATAGTAAGCCTTCCCAGTAATTATCCATGAAAAGTATTTCTATACTACCTATTGATGGCAAGCTTTTTTTTTAAACGTTGGTCTGTTCGTAGCTGTGTAACTGCTTTCTTTAATTTTGAAGTGTATTTTTTTATTTCTAAGGCTGTGGCTTTGGGTACTATCCGTGACGTTGCAGATGTACATGTTGCAAATGATTGTGATAGATTTGATTTCTTCGCCGCCCCTATTTGTTCGTGTTGGACTTTTCAAAGCGAAAGATGAGCATAGACGGCCTGTTAGTATGTTGAAGGCTCTCAAATTGACCCTAACTTGTGTTGCTAACCACGATGAAAGATACATGAGAAAGATGAAAGGTAAATATGAAAGTACAAACTTTCCAAATTACTTATTTTCCAGCGGGCACGCGAAATGTTGCGTGCTCCTCTGTCTGCAGTCCAACATAATTATAACTAGATATCTCTCCCTGCCTCCCTCCATGCAGCTCAGCATTAATTATTCATGCGATTTAGAAAGTTGTCAAATCAACCGAACTGAATCAACTTTGAATTTTCAAACCGTTATCTTTGCAAGTACGCGTACTTTTGAGGTCTATACGGCTTGTGTGCTTATGTAAGCCATGTTTGTCAACAACCTTTATGTATCTTTTCTTTCCGCTTAATTACCGTAAATGTGATTTCTTTGTCTTAACTAACGTAAGAATCTCATGAAGAGCTGGCTATTGCAACCTCAGTGAGTCCACTGCGACAAGGTGACAAAGCCTTGGTCAAGGTAGGAGGAGACTTTAAGGAAAAATACCAAAGGAACGAGCAGGAAAAAGTCATTCTTGTGTAAGTKAACGTTTTACAGAAATGAAAGTTAGATAAAGGCTAAATGGTGACGTAGTTTTTTTTCAGCATCTGAACACAAAAACGAAAATTTGTTTTCACGATTTCAAATTTTTTCCCTGGGCGTAATGTTTTCCTATTTCAGACCGCGTGTTCTTCCGTAGAGTATCATTTCATTGTCTAAACGTTTAACATACAGAAATAGAAAAACCCATTTGCGCTTTTATTCCAAATATTCACATTAAATGATTGCATAATTTGGTTATTTATAAAGCAAATGATAATAAAGCAAATGATAATAAAGCAATAATAATATTTATTACATCCATTTTGAAATCACAAGCAAATCCTGCAATCTGATTGGTTCCCTGCAGCAGTGATTTCAGCATAAATCGCACGATTTTGAGCTCTAAATTGCACGATTTTGCACATCAACTGATATGAACCAATCACAAGAGAGACATGTCATTTTCNAATCACCTGTGTATTTATACTAAAACAATTATTCACCTAGGGCTCAATGAATATCGGTACTAATAACCTCAACTTTGTTTCGGTTACTATGTAAGAGTTAATTACCGAGGGATGTATAGGCTTATTGCCTCCGTTCTCGGTAATTAAGTATTTTATTTATCAATTGAGAAGGTTTTCTATCAAATGTTGCTCATTATAAATGCGATAGGTCTATATATAGTTATTAACCGGGTTAACAACTATATATTGACCTCGCATTTATAATGAGGGTTAAACAAAAATAAATAACAAAGAAAACCGTGTCAATTGAGAAATAATCCCCGATATTCACATGTCGCCTTCGGCGAATAATTGTTAAAGAATATGTAACGGTATACATTGAAACCGTGAGAAGGTACATTAGAACAATTGAATTATGTGATTGACAGTATTCTACTACCCATTTAGCTGCATTTCACGACTTTTATATCGATCATCTCAGTCGTTTTTGTTTGTCCTTTTAAAGTTAATGTTGATGCCTGAAAACAAAGATGCATGTTCTATACTTTGTATGGATGGCTTTTCAAGTATTGCCTTTTTAAAGTCTGTTATCGTAAAGATGCCCTTGCCAAACAACACAGCAGAATACTCAACAAAAGACATTCGGCTTCTTCGCTTGGACGATAACAGATGGGAAGATAACGAATGGGAAGATGTAACAGATCAAGCAAAAATTGTAAAGCTTAGGACCCACATGGAATTTCGCGTAAGAAACTTCTCCTGGTAAGTATGTGCTGTGATATTGCTTGGTACTCGGTTCCACAATTGCTCCACTACATGAATGATGACTTATTATTTGAAAAAGGCCACATCAAACAGACGCTTTGCCGAAATGGCGACCGCAAAGATTAAACTGAGTATAAAACCAATACTGCACCGAAAAGAGCACCTTTACTTTATCAACCCTACGAAGTTTCATTACTATAGAAATCACAACGTGGTAAAACGACCGTTGGAATGCACGTCTCGCAGTGATAGATTTATGTACCACATGATGAGATTTTTGTGTACCACAGGATCATGTTTGAGAGCATGCGATTATAGTAGTGTTCGATATAAAAATGGGCTTGAAAGCGGATCAGATAATGCAAATTGAGCTATTGCCACGATTATCTGGACTACATGCACTATGTTCATCTGTTCAAACTGAAGATTTTTGACCAGACCGGTATTTCTTTTTATAACTGCAACAAGTGCTACGGCCACTAGTCTCCCCCACAGCCGCTTTCATTGTCGTCACTGAAAGCGGCTGTGGGGGAGACTATACGGCCACTCACTCCAGACAGTTTCATCCTCACATGGTACACAAAAATTTCATCACGTGGCACATGAACCTACCGCCGCGAGACGTGCATTCCAACGGATGTTTCACCACTGTACTCTAGTGATTTCCATAGTATGTCAGGTCTTATATCGCGGGCCGAGAAAACTTTAGTTGAAAGTTGACAAATTTACAAACGTTTGTACGTCTGGTAAAACGTACAATTAATCTTTGTAGGGTTGCTAGTAAAGGTGCTCTTTCTAGTGCCGTTATTGTTTTTCTAATTTAACTCATTGCGGCCGCCATTTTGGCAAAGGGTCTATTCAATACATTTGTGAAATTGTTGCTAGAATTTTTTTCCAATAGAAATGAAAAAGTAATATTTCCAAATTGAATATTGTAAAATTACTATGATTTTTTTGTTCATTTTTGGACACTTAGCCTAACTCTTGCTCCTAACACCTGATATAATACTTTCAGTATTGATTCTACCTAAAGTGAATAGTCGAATATATATGATGAAGTATTTTTAAAAACTGTTCGTGTGAAGCAGTTAAAATTAGTAGTATATTCAATGAAGCCTAGCCTGCGGTGACGTCACATAAACCTTCGTAACTTAAAGTGCGGACACATTAATCGGGACCACTTGAAGAAAGTTAACCAATCACTACAAAAAAAAAACAAAGGAATCAAACTTTAGTCAAACCAAGAAAGCATAAGTATGTTCCCTTGGTCAAACTTAATCCAATTGCAATCAGTAGCAAGCAACGAAGCCTAAATACCTGAGTAAAAATTATATGTTATTAATAACCGCTGGAACGAGAGATTGTGATTGGCTGAAATCAATATGATACTAATTTTGTTATCACTTTCTTGGCTAAAGTCCTTTTTATTTTAAATTTTGTTCATGAGGTCCCAGTTACTGTGTCCGCACTGTAAAGACTCAACACTTGAATGAAGAAATATTTCACCATTCAACTATTCACTTTATGTAGAATCGATACTGAAAGTATTGTATCAGGGGTTAGGTGCACTAGCACTTTAAAAAGATCGCTGAAGGGTCAATTACATAGTACCAGTTATATAATGGTTTTGAGTGAGCCCATGCTGATCATGGTAATAGCTTACCGGCACTGTGCACGGGTCCAGAATGGATACAAAGATCACGCTGCCTTCAGCGTCAGATCATTACTGTGTTAGTATAGGTATTATAAAATAATTGGGATACTACGCGCGTTATGATTGGTCGAAAACCATGTTTGATGAGAGTATCAAAACACGCTGTCGTCATTTTTAATCTATCGCGCGCGTAGGGAGAATTTACTTAGACTTTGCTTTTTTTCGATCTTTTCGCGCGTTTGTTATTTTACATCCCGCGTGTTTTGATAAGAGTATCAAACACGGAAAACTGTTTTTGATTTGTTAAATAACATACATGAAAAAATTACAAAAGAAAGAAAATATGTGAAATATTCAACGCATAATATTTTATGAAGTTCTTTCGTTCACAACCAACTATATTCAAAGCGATTTTGGTTTCAAATAAATGTAATTCAAATAGTTTCTCATTTATTTTAAACCCGAAATAAACTGTAACTGTAAAGTAACTGTAAAGTAAATCTGAATCACTATGAATGAAGACATTGGATTGGCTGACTTCGCAGCTAACGGAGTAGAATATTGAAAAAATTATACCTGACAGTTGTTGAACGTGTTAAGAAAATTTTCGGCCAAAATATTGTGTAAGCACTTACCACATCATATTTAATGGTCTTGCTCATAGTCATTTACGTTTCTGTTTTAATTTTTGCTTATTACTTCGGCAAAGAATCGCTCGAGTATTTCCTTTAGATCGGCTGGCTCATTATCGTCAATTCATGTCATAGATTGTTTTCTTCTCACTATTTCTCCCATATATTCAGCCTTAACGATTTACTCTTACTTGTGTTTTCTTTTTTGAACTGTTTTTTAGTTGTTTGATAATAAAATCCGTAACATCTTTGCTTACTTTTACCTAAGATAAAATGGCTACAATTTTCCCCTAGATTTGCTAAATTTTTCTCAAATTTTTTGTCATGAAAATCTGTCACCTAATTGGCTAGAATTATTTTCCATTGTTTATTATCCAATCAAAAGCGAAAATTCCTTTTGTAATTTGCTTTGTTACACTTTTCTGCACTGTATTATACTTTTTTTGCAACACTGCTCTAACCCAAACAGAATTGAGTAATTTTTTCAGGTATGTTATTACTGCCTATAAAGATAGATTATTACTGTAGCGTATCTGTGAGAGCACCGGCCGCGTCTCTGGTTCTCTTCTGTGCTTCAATGCTTTTTCTCCGGTTTTTACAGTTTTCTTTCCGCAAAAACAAACAAAATTGCGATTTGTTTCGATTGTCGAAGAATCATTCCTTTTACATGAAGAACCTGATTATCTTGGTTACCAAAATTGTATATTTCTATAAATTAGGTTGTGAGAACACTTGATCGCATTAGTTGAACTTATAGCTTCTTTTTTTAATCTTTAAGTTGGTGGCCTTGGATATCGAAGGAAAAAATACAATCTGCTTCTAAGATATTTCGAACATTATGTTTTGGGCGTCACGTCTGTTTCGCTGCCTTCAAGGACACTGACGACGACGCACCTTTGTTACCAAAGTTAACGTTAGTGTGTGCTGAAAACCACATGGAAGATAAAATCTTATCTAAAATGAAAGGTAAAGGAATACCTGCCTGCCTGCCTGCCTGCCTACCTGCCTGCCTGCCTGCCTGCCTGCCTGCCTGCCTGCCTGCCTGCTTTCGTTTGATGGATTGCCATGCATCACTTCTAAAAAAGTTCTTATATAATTCACTCTAAGGTCAGGGCTATTCCAAACTTGCAATCACTACTAGTGATCAGAAAATGACACCAAATGATAAAGCCTACCCGAAGGTCAACGGTGCTGACATGAGAATTGAAAGGTTTTTTCTAAGGTTAGTAAAATTATGCGCTGTCACAGTCAACTCTTGCGCTGCAAGTTTATTTCGTGGTTTCCATCACTCGTTTTCCAAAAACATTTTTTTAAAGTTCAACTATTCACTTTATGTAGAATCAATACTGAAAGTATTGTATCAGGAGTTAGGTGCACTTTAATGTACTCAAGCTCATGCTATGCAGATTTCAACAAAATCGTTATCATTAAATGGCGTATATGATTTTTTCAAAGTTTCTTGAGAGGTCAAGTCTGTAGAAAGGAGTTAACTGTACGTGATACAAGACAAGATCAAGAGAACCACGAAGAACTAGTCATTCGTTTTTTCCCGAACCCTGAAGAAAACCTGGACCATTTACTATTGGGTATTCTCCAAATGAGCAAGGACAAGGTATTTTCGAGAAGTGGCGGAGGGAATCAAAGAACCCCACTGGTTAGTATTAATTTTTTTATCTTTAGATTTTAATTCTTCTGATCTATTATTTGCATATGCTTCTTTTTGCTTTTACATATAAATAATATGTTAAATTTAGTATTATAATTCCCATATATTTTCTTATTTATCTTTATCTTTAAAGTTGTCTATTTTATTTTACATTTATATCGTAAAAATCAATGGGAAATAAATTACTAATTATGATCATTATTTTGATTAGTATTTAGATAATTGTTTTTCCTGTTTGCCATTGTTTGTTTAGGCTAAAGATATTCCATCGCCTCCGATATGGTCAACCAAAGGTACGAAAGGCTGTTTTTTAACAATTATTCGCCGAAGGCAAAGTGAATATCGGGGAACATTTACTAAGCCGCCAGTCTTCTTCTTAAATTTTAGACTTGAATATCAGAAAAAAAGACGTAATTGAGGGTAAAAAAAACGTTTTAGTATTACTTCCACTCTGGCATACTTTGGGAAACCTCATAATCACCGCTCGAGCANTTTGTTTTCCTTTGTTAGGTGGCTGTTGTGGTGCTGGGAACAAGAAGACAGTAATCGGAGGATGGGCATGGGCTTGGGCTTTTGTGACGGATGTACAAGCGTAAGTATTAAACTGTAACCTGTTGCCTCGAAAGCTATTTTTCCATCGAGCTCTCTTCATTCCCAACCCCAAAATATTCCTGTTTGACTTTAATCCAAAGCAAAAATCTAATTCATCGATGCTTTAATGTTTTTAATTGTATATAAGCTCATTTGGAATAATATTTATACTTCATTGATGAGCTATATAATGATTTCAGCTTTAAGCGGTTATAACAAAGTGAAAATACTATTTGTAACAGAGAGCCTCTAATATATTCACTTAAGATTTCCTATTACACATATTAAGCGCTGATATGCTATCTAAATAGCATAAATATATAATATCAGTGAGATATTTAGAATATGCAGATGAAAAACTTTAAAATATATACTATAATCCTCACTTCTGAGGTCGGTTAACAAAAGCAGAAATAAGAATGACAAAACAAGCAACTCCTGCATTCAAGGCTATTCCATGGTATGTTCAAAACCATTTTGTAGCAAGTTATATTTATCTTATTTACAGTATATCACTGGAGGTAATGACACTAAACCCTAAGTGCGAAATGGTAGAAACATCACAAGGTGTTGCTGTCACAGTAACAGGTGTTTGTCAGGTGAAGGTCATGACGGAGCCCCGCCTCCTAAAAACAGCTTGTGAACAGTTTCTTGGGAAGTCTACTAGAGAAATTGAGAGTGTTGTCTTGCAAACCCTTGAGGGTCATTTGAGAGCTATCCTGGGTACCCTTACAGTGGAGGAAATCTATAAAGGTAAGCAGACAGAGCATGTTGGCACCTCAAGATCAGGTTATACATACAGCACTGTATGTGGCATCTATGTAAATACCATTTGCATGTATGAAAAATGATTTCTGCATGTGTAAAAGCACTGCACAGCAAAATTCAACGGCCTGCTCTTTTGTGTGCTGCGACTATGTATTGCAGGTAGTCTTTGCATCCCTAACATTATAGGTTAAAGTACCCCAAATTATTTGAAATTTCTTTTCAGACTCACTGACTGATTGATTGATTGACTGACTGACTGACTGACTGACTGTATGACTGACTGACTGACTGACTGACTGACTGACTGACTGACTGACTTAGCTGAATTTGTTTTTTTGTTTTTTTTTCATTTCAGGAGACCTTGAGCCGCGACAGAGTGTATAAGATGCGCACAACATTTCCAAGGGGTTATTTCGTAATCGTCAATGTCAACAAGTTCGACCCATCAACGGGTCTTGAAGAACGTACGGGCTCTGAACAAGATGTGAAAAACCTACAATCTGTATTCAAAAATTTGCTAGGTTTTGAAATTAAACTTCTATGTGATGATCCGAATGCTCAAACGATTCTAGACAWTATTAACGACATTTTCCAAAAAGATTTTTCCAATTACGATTGCTTTGGTTTATGTATCATGAGTCATGGTAGTGACGACCGTTTTTACGGTTCAGACACGGTACCAATTACATGGTCTACAATCCTTTGTTTATTTAATAAGAAACTGGGTCGTACATTTACAGGCAAGCCAAAGTTGTTTTTTTCAAGCATGTCGGTGTGTTGCTCAGACTGAACATAATAGAGGTGGTGAACATGATGGAAGTGCAGCGGAACAACAGTCATCCCCTCCAAGGTCCTACTTAACTTCTGACGTCCTAGATACTCTAGTAGTACACAGCTGTTTTCGAGGACATGAATCATTTCGTAATAATCAGGATGGGACTTTTTTCATTCAAAGTCTCGTAAAAGTGTTGAAAGAAAATGTGAAGGACGAGGACATGTTGAGTATGGTAACCATGGTTATTAACGAATTAACCAATCAATTGGGAGAAAAACAAGTGCCACAAATGGAAAGCACATTTAGAAAAAAGCTTTACCTCAAACCATAAAAGTTTCGACATCTTTATCAATAAAAGGATGTAGATTGATCGTCGTTTTGGGGATGAGTAGCAATTATAACCAGGCATCTGTAAATATTGTTTGCTTAAAAACATTGTTTTTCCTGCCTTGGCAACAATTTTCCTGGGAACATAGTCTCTTCTCTTTCTCTCCCTTCTTTAGGTGATGAGGAGGGATTGTCTCCCCCACCCACACTCCCCCCCTCCCCCAATTAATAAGATATAGTAATGGCAATTGCTCCCTTACAGGATTCAAGTGATTTGCTTAAGGCCACATGGTATTCCTTTCCTGTAAGGTTTTTGTAAAGAGAGACTGATATTAACCAATATTAACGTAGATATTAACAACTCATGTTAAGCTAAAAAATGAAAACTTGTTACCACAAGTCTCCCTTTCCAATTTAAACCAAACATCTGGAAAATTGAAAACAAATTGACTTTTTTTCACAATGAGGTTTTCCGACTATAAAACAACCCAAACTTGTCAGAGCAGCAAAAATTGCTCCAATGCATTTCTAGAAGAAGCGAAAGCTAACCGTATAAGGATTTGAGATGGATAATATCAAGATACTTTGAAAGAAAGAGTCACCGTAAAAAAGATAGCAAGCAGACTTGCTCGGAAAGTTAAGGTGGCTGGACCCCCTCACGCTTGACCGCTACCTTCCACGTTTGGAATGCTGGCGCATAAACGTGTTTTATCCGATTGCAAATCTTTTTTGCACATAAGTCACATAAAGATTGAATTAATGTTTGATGCAGTTTTTAATGAAATCGGACTTCATAACACGTGATTATGACGAAATATTTGTTTTCGTTTAGAGAGCAATTTTAGCCTTGCAGAGCGTTCAATACTAAAATGCTTCGTACCACATAATTATATACTGGATGCCTCCATTTGTGGGGATTTTTGAAAAAATCTATCTAGCTGATTATGAGATTTTTAAGATTATTTAAATATAGTGCATAATCTACTTCAAAACTAAACAATGGATTTGATACGGCCGAAATTAATATTTCAGAGCTATATATTCACAAAAGTCATTGCTCATTTAGTTTTACTCTGTATCTAGTYTTAAAAGGAACATTTTGAAGGTAATCGACTTATGCGATTTTGTGAAAACGTATAAAGCATAAGCCGGGGTAAACATTTGATGCGCACTTTTCATTGCAGTTTTCTAGTCAATCTTACTAGATCTTCCATTATTCTAAAACTCGCTGATAATTTCTCTCAAAACTACGTCAGTATACAAATTAGAACTTAAACTAATATTACACAAAATTGCAAGACTATTGAACTCATTAAAAGCGATCTAAATCGAACGGGAAATGCAGAAAACATTAATCGTTTCCCAACGATTTGATGCTCTGGGAATTCTATTGTTTGCTAATGACCATAACATCAATATTCTTTCGCACCATGCACGGTCTCATCTCGCTTGGCTGCTTTCCGATTTACTCCCGAAGTTTGGTTCTTTATTAAACTCAAAAGTCTGGCTCGCTTCCTTCTTGAAGTTTT